CTTGCTCTTTGGGATGTACACAACCGTCGTCTCATTCGGCAGGATGTTTGTCCTCAACCTCAAATGTTCCTTTTGACGGACGTGGAAATCAAACAGCAGGTACGAATAGCCGCAGTCTTGGGTAGCGTCTTTGTAAGCCTCCAGTAGCGCGCGAAAGTTGACAGGGTCGATTTGGAGTACAAAAGATCGCACCTGATTCAGATTCAGTTTATTGTTCAAACCAAAGTGAATAAGGCATAAAATACACAACAATAAAAGTTCAAAAAAACCTGTGCGAGGTCGCGACATGTCTTCATCAAAATACAGTAATGCGCTTGCAAACTGATCTCTCTCATGTTTTTCGGGAAAATGCATTGCGACAACAACCAGAAACTCAAGTTCCGATGATGCGACCCTTTGATGGCGAATTGCAAAAACTCGGGGCTCTTCAGACTATCCATAAAATCGTCACATATGAGAAGTTTTGCCCCTTCGTTTGGCGGAAACTGATCTAAAGTGGGAATACCCTCTACGAATCGGACTCTGGAATCGCTCTCTGCGAGTTCCTGGTAACATTTTTGCCATTCCATGTAATGCCAAACGACTTCGACAAATTTCGTATCAAACATTTGGTCTCTGTTTTTCACGATTTTAATCATGAGGGTCGTTTTTCCCGCTCCTGAACCGCCGACCAGCAGCGCGTTCGCAGGATGGACGAATCGAGTATCCATCTCGTGAGACAGCTTGCAGGAGACTGGCGCAAGATCCATCAGTGTTTGATATTTTATTTGTTTTGTGTGAGCGACGCGCCTCTTTACTCGAGTACCTGTGTGGGAGGGTGGAGTGATCAAACTGTATGTCTTATTTTCAACGATTTATTCAGAAACGTTATGCATGACTTTACATTTTTTTGTTGCTGTTTTTTAAACAATTTGTCCGTCTGGTTTCATTAGTATGTACAGAAGCTATGGGACTCGGCAAGACTGTTTAGTATCACCGGGATAAATGCTTCATCGTCGTGTTCGGTTAAATACATTTTCTTCATTTTCCAGGATACATTTATGTTGGACATGGCTTTAACTTGATCTTCATACATTTTTATAATGTTTAAATTGTATTTTGATA